ACAGAGATCAGATAAACCCAACAGAGCGTATGAACCAACAAATACGCCCCATTCACAGACGGGGAGCTCTTACGCCTTGGCATCTACAGGCGAGAGACGTCCAGCCGGTGACCTGCCGCCTCCACAACCGAACTCCTCATGTCGAAGATCCTTATGCAGCTCATGAAGGACCTTTCAAGCCCGACAATGCGTCTGCCAGCTAAGCCAAGCTGACCTTCTCGTTGACGAAACTGTTTTTTGTTCGAGCATGTCTCGAGACGTGACGAGACGGAAATCTATCTCTCATATTTAACAAAATCCGCTGGCCAAAGACAACTGGGAGTCAGGCATTCGTCACGTCACGGCATCGACCCTCCCCCTTCTTTGGTTGGGACGGTCTTTTGACAAACCCACGTCGTTTCGAGAACCAGCTCTCCATCACTCAGCAATTACTGAGCACCGATTTGCCGCTGTACTCCCCATTAGGATGGACCGGTTTTCAAACCGTACCTGGCCTCTGCATTTAATGCTACAATCGGACTCCGGCCACCGATGGGGTTGGCGATGGCGGCGCACAGTAGTCCGCCATTGATTATATTTCATGACGCCAACCATCCCCGACACATGCGTGCGGGTCAAGGGCGACGGCAGAGATCTGCCCAGATGCACCGGCTGGAAAGCGCTATGAATTTAAACTTGACAGCTACAGGGCTGGCTCTGTGTTACAGGACCCGGAACGCTCTGCGCCCCCGTATATTGTCCTCCGTTGGTGACGTACGCTTCATGAGTTTATGCGTCGATGAGGTACCACGCAATTAGAAAACAAGCTTTGGACTGCCTTGGATCCGACATTTTATTTGCTCCCCCTTCTAGACGGGTTTCAGCAACAAACACTCAAGAAGAGCCGAGGCGCTGGTGTGCTTGTCATAGAGGAGGCAGACGATTCTGATCGGTGCCAACACTCATCGCGTGATTTAACTCGTGTGTAAATGACAAGCCACTTGACCCTTAACCTCGCACGCTTATAAACGTACCCAGCCTGAACCAGGATACTGCGCAGGCCGATGCTCTGGCGGCGACGGTTAACCAGCCATTGGAGGGAACAGATGCAGTGGATCAAAGTGAATTGGATCATGTAGCGGATGTGCGGGGCAACATGCATGATAATATGGCACATGCTCCTGCTCTTGCGGACACCTGTGAGATGCTTAAAATCAACCCAAATATATTCAAATTAACTCTGGGTGTAGGCCAGCCACCAATTCGCCTCAAGCCACACCAGGTGACCAGTATCAGACTACGATGCGATCCGGCGAATCGGCACAGGAGCATCCAACCCACAACCGTCATAGTAAAAAAACGGAGCGAGGAACAGGCTCCCCATCATTCAATCTGGAGAGGTGTGTTCTCCGTCCGGACAAGCCCTGCGACGCATATGCCCGTCCATTGATGTGTTGACCCACATTGCAAGAAAAAGATCTATCGATGTTAGCGTCCGGCCAGAAGAGGATTCTTCCATCTCTTGGGCCTTTTGACAAAGGCGATTTCCTGCTGCCACCGTTCTACGCCCAAGGAATGGACGGGCGTCCTACAGCAGGCTGAACAACCCGGCGCCGCTGGGCACTGCATACCCCAAACCAATAATAAGGTTGCGCTTGACGGCTTTGATAATGGAGACCGCAAACTTGCGCGGCGTATTCATAGAAGACGCTTCCCAAAGTACGCAAATCGTAACATGCAGCGCGTGGAGACCCGGCTATGGAGATACCGGACGCTAGAAGAGTCCTTGAAGGGGATGCTCAAGATGTCTTCTTCTGCACTTTCTGCGCCTGCGCCTTCGGGCAAAAGACCTCAGGCTGCCCATCCAAGTAGCCGCCGGCCCTTGACAAGGAGTCGGGGCGCCACTGCTGCCTTTGGGGCGGCAGACATTATAATCTTCTGAATAGAGACGAGGCGCCATGCTCGCACTGCCAAGTAGTGAAGCTTGCGTATCTCCCCGACTTTATAAGTGAATAATCCCGCAGTTTCTCCCCGCAGTCCCTTGTCTTACAGTGATCTCGTCTAACCTTGGTTGCAGTCCTCCCCCGATGCCCGAATGGACGCTGCCATGCTCGCATGGGCATCTACCAGGGGCTTAACGGAAAGTAGCAATCTTCGCCGTTACCACGATGCAGTCTGTTTGCCTTCCACTCCTCGACATAAAAGGCCCTAGCGGCTGCTATTCCCTCTCCAGAGGCTGAGCTCACCTGCCCTGTCCTTACGGAGGAGCAGGTCCTCAGTGCGGCGTGACCGTGCTGGGGTTGCTCCTGGGTAAGATCACTCTGCTGCTGAGCAGACAGACCCTATACTCAGCCGACTACGAGGTGAGCATGGGATATTCTATTCAAGCCAATGCCCGCCCACCTCACTGAGAAACCCAGTCGCCAACAACGAGGCCAAGTGATGGTTGCCCGCTTTATTTCTACTAGAAGCATCTGCCCTTGAACCAACAGGCATTTTTACGCTTGCGGCGATGTTAGGGCCAGCCCTCGGTGCTGCGCAGCAGAGCAGACCTATGCGCGGTCTCCAACGCCTCCTCTGGGCTCCCTGAGCTCAACCGCTCCCCATTCCCCGCCTCTGATTAGGAAGACGGACAATTGGCTACACGCGCCCAGTTGCGAGAGCGCCTTTTGGTCATTCACGCGGGACAACAACCGCCTATTGATCAGGAGCGTGGTGCATGGCGCGACCCAGCGCAAGTTCCCAAGTCAGGTTCTTCTCCGGATGCCCCGGAGATCCTTCGAGGGTGGAGTGTGTGAAGGAGGCTGCACAGAGAGCCTGCACGCGCTTTGGGACGCTGACAGGCGCAGATGCTTGAGGATATTATGTGCACTCGAAAATCGAGACAGTGGGGCGCTGATATAGATGCCGTCAGAAAAGGAACTGTACACCCATCTTCACGAACATCGAAGAGAGGCATCAAAGAAGAGACACAGGGTGCGGTGTGGCTCTCTCTACTTGAACCGCAGTTCACCTGCGGTTGGTTTCCTCAAGGCTTCGAGACAAATGACTCCTTGCTCATGAGCGACCCAAGTGTAAAATCAACAAACATGGGCCTTCGGGGTCGGTCGTTTTTAGCCTAACTTGGCATGGCTTTGCCCGTTAAAAAATGGACCTATCTCAGCAGCAATTCGGAATCCACCCGACGAAGTGGACGACGTGGAGCGGTTCCCACTCATCTTCGAATCGACTCATGCATGGAATGAGGAAGCTAGAAATATGGTTCTACAACTTCGTGGCATGTTTTCTGCCTTGCTCGACTAATGCGACCAAGCCGAAACTACACTTCGACACAATCACCAGGTTTTGCTTGAAGCGGCCCACAAAGATCAACATGGCATCTCAAGAAACAGGCTCCCATCTCTGTTCTGACCCGGGGTACTACTCTACGGCCTGGGGTCAAAGCCCAGTTTCTGGCACGGAAAGACACTGCATCGAATATCATGACCTCGGGGGCCTCAAGATTTGCTCCATATTAATGGCCACCATGGATGGCCCTTCTCCATGGTGTCCTAGCAGCACAGATGCAGCAGATGGAATGCCCAGGCGAGCTGATTACTGTATCGGATATGGCGGAAATAATCCCGATACAGGATGCGGCCAATCTGGCCGTTCTCGAGATAAAGAAGCCAAGGAGTATAGCTCAGCCCGTAAGCAGGGGGTGGTATATATGAGTATGTATATTGTGTCCTATGACCGTTTTTGACTCATCGTGGCTGGTAAATTCTAACAGCAGTCAGCAACCGTCATGCACGTCCGCAAGAAGGCAGGTAGAGGATGCCGCCCCGGCGTTCATGGAATCGCGAAAATTTTGGCTTTAATGTATTGGCTATGGGTGCACCCGAAGCGGTGCGGACAATCTGGCCATCGTAGAAGCCAAAAGCCCGAAGGAACATGGTCTGGCGCGTGCGCAAGTTATGTCCTACATAAGGACGTACATTACATTCCATGATGCTTCTATACAAATGGTGCCCGTCTGCTAATACCATTTAGCGGCTGTTGTGCGCCTGCGCGAGTAATGAGGCTACTGGAAGGTATGCAAAGCCAGGGCAGGGCAGCGCTACCCAGTCTTGCCTACAACTATCAGGTCAAAATTTAATTCAACTACATTGTATTGTGAAGTTAACCCCCTGAGGAAAAATAAAGCGCTACAGATATGGCTGTGCTGCCATGTTGAGGAAGGCTGTTTCTGCTACCACCTCTCCGGTTTAGTGGTGAAGCCGATGCCGGGGTATACGGCATAACGTCAGATGGCACAACCTTCCATTCTATGGTATACTCGTGGCAGCCGTCCTCTGCTCTACAGCACACTCCTCGCATGCTTACATCGACCTGTCCTCTGTGCAAGCCTCCTGCAGCATCTTGGGATTGACAATGTCTCGTTCGGGACAGCAGGCGTGGTCCATATCGGCATTCAAACGGCTATTAAAGAAGGGATATGCCAGTGCGCTCTTGAACATACAACATCGGTCCCATGGCGTTAGCTACAAGCCAACGTCCACCATGTTTTATCATGGACAAGTACAGAGCTATTGAGAGTCCTCCATTGGAGTGGGCGCATCGCATCAATTTCCAAGTTGAGTATGGCCGGTTTTGTTGGCCGGTCAATCCATGGCATGGTCAGATTCATAGACGTGGGTGGACAGACGAAATGTGATGACGCACATTCTATCCTTGACAAAAATGAGTGCATTGTGGCAATCAATCTGGCCGTATAACTGATGAAGCTTCTCTTCTCGTTTCAGTGGATCCAAACCACACGTCGCAAGGACTTTGAAGGCTTTTGTTCCCTGGCTCACGCTGAACCATCATACCTATCCTATGATGGCTTGCTGTCCAGCCCACCCGTCTACTCAGAGTATCCCAGTCAATCCGGGAGTTGTCAGTGCAGTGAGAATGCCTGGGCGCGCTTCTGCGTCTGCCGACACACTTATCACGAGGAGTGTATTCGGCACCTGGTTCGTCCAAGAGTGGCGAACCCCATGCTGCAACGAGAAGAGGCTCCATCTCGAAATCCCGCAAGGCCCTCCAGGTATGTGAATTCTATCTTCTAGTTATGATTTGCACCCTGATACTAATATATTCTAGAGTCAACCATCAAGGAATACAAACACAGACCATCCTAGCTTATACCCAAATTTCCAATTCCCACTCCTACAATGCCAGGGATGGGGGCAGTCTCATCACCCACTGGGACCCTGGCAACGCCCCACCACGCGACCACCCACTTATGGAGAAATGGTAGAAGCTGACACGGCCGAGCAAGGTTTTCAGGAATGTGGCGACTTGATAAGGCGTCGTTCTCGTGAAATTGGGGTTGACGGCCTGCCTCTAACCCGCCCACCATTGCGGGTACACTAGACCCTCACGTCCGTCATAAGCGGATAACTATGTGGTCCTACTGCGTAGATCCATGCATATTATCTAATATATCTCACGGATGGGTTGAGATTGGTGGGAATGACCTAATTGATCTGATTAACAGACATTGATCAAGCCAGGGGGCACGGTAGGTAACATGTCTCGCTACAACGATTTTCATCGCCACCGTCGGTTTATCATCGACCTCCCGGCTGGTCTAGAACACCAAAACGTCGGATAACCAGAGGGGCAGTGGAAATCACTATCATTGCTCCTCCGTACATGGCGCAGGTAGTGCAGATCCGATAGTCTCTGGCCGAACCATGCCGTGATGCCCTTCTTTCTTCCTGCCTCCCAGCCGCCAGGGTCAAGGTCGCCCACGGTTGATTCCATGCAGGGTAAGGAAGATGAGCTCACTATTTTCGATTCCACGCGTGAGAGCATACGGCATAGCACCGGCTGGATGTGCGGAGGGAAACTACGCCACATACAGATCCCCTACCAGAGAAAATAGCCCTGGCTTCTTGCCGGCTGGGTACCTGATTTATATTGAGGACAGACAGAATGCGGGACCTTGTGCAAGGGTCTGGTGTCGGCATCAAGGACACCTCGGCATGTCTACCCGTTCGGTCAAGTCTTCATCCATTTGATGACTCAGATTGACGGCCGTGCCGGCAATATAGTCCATTGGCGGCCCTCGCGCGGTATGTTGCAAATTGGACAGGAGACAACAAAAGATGGGCCGATCTCATAATAATGGAACTGGGACCTTTTATGTGTCTGCCATGGCACTCATCCTGCTAGATGGTATTGTGAACGACACGTACATTCCAGCGGGTACGGCTATGCATGCAATTCACGACTACATTGTTGCCGAACTAATAGCAACGTCGATTCATCCCCGCGCAACTGTCGTATGGTCAACAATTCGCTAGCAGCTGGCGTTATTACTTCGAGGTCGTCGAGAAGAGAGAGTAGGTATCTTCGTGTACCGCACCTATCCAAAGTTTAGGCTTGCCTGATGCCAACAGCTTCTGTCACTGCAGCGAGACGTCACTTCCAACTATTCGAGACGACAAGACTAGGTAGCTACACCATGAACGTTGCAAGGTGCTAGACGCGACAACGCAGTTGGAGAGTACCAATTTCGGGCCGAATTCGCCGCGTGATATTGTCGAGCCGGCCTAGACCAGAACTCCACCCTGAGAAGATCCGGCTTGAAACCCAGGCCATCTCGTTTGTTGCAAGCCCTAGGCTGGAGATTACAGTCCACTTTGAATTCAACCGAATGGGAGACTGACCCGAGTTCAGCCGCAGAGCTGAACACACATACTGCTCGGAGTTCTTCGCTACGCAAGCAGGTCAGGGGCGTGGTGCATCAAGGGTGGAAATCTGCCCCCGCTCAGACATTTCTGTATACCATGACTGCTTTGAACCCCCATGTGTGACGGTGATACGAGAGACGTATGATGTCTGGACTGATCTTCGTCTCACATATACATCTGCCCTTGCCTCGTCTAGGCTCACATCAGTCTATCCCAAGCCAGCTGAACAGCCACTGGTCCAAGCAGTGACACGCTGGGTTTGGTGTAGAATAAGCATGAGAGACTTTGTGAAATCTCTGTCACTTTCCCCGAGGGTAGTCGCCTCATATTTAGACACTCGATAAACCCAAGATCCAGGTGGTGGAAGTCGAACAAGGCCATGATTATGGGTGGACTTGGGAGCCACCACAAAACAGATTGTCTAGAACCTGAGACTCGACTATACTTGAAGGTTAATGACACTGCCATCGCTGCTGAAGCAGCGACGGAAATTCAAGTGCTTGCGAAGTGCGTTGTCCGCGCCTACAATCATGGCGAAGTTGTTATTCTAGCAATTTGGCCACAAGAGGACAGGCCTTTCCGTGTCTATGCTGGAGAGCCTATAGTCTTAATCGGCAAAGACATGTTTTCAAGAAGCCGCGCTCTATCTCACGACAAGGAGTGCCCTGGGTACTTCGCTAGGATCCTTCCCTCGGCTTCAAAATAGAAGCTCGTCCGCGACGCACCCTACCATGCGGTTTTACAGAGTCCAGTCCAGCAGACGGCCATCGATCAGCTTTTGGCAATGTTCGTGGAGTATGATGTCCAAATTGTGCCTGCCAGATATCCTGCAACGCCTATTTGGGCTTGACCCTAAGGAGGCCGACCTGCGAGAGACCGTCAAATGTTACAGTGGAGCTGTGGATGCCTGACCAGCAGTCGCCACCAAACCATCTAGCAGGACTCAAGTGGCGCACTGACGACCCATGGACTATTCTGAGCTCGATAATTGCCGGGCGTCTGTGCTGGCCTGACCAATGGATCAACGACGACATGATGTCTCGTGCCCAAGACAGTCATGATAGAAGAGACTTGTTCTCCTTTGGACGAAGTTCTTCGTATCCTCACAAGGATAACGGCCAGCCCGCCTCCGTTCGGTTTCGGTCGATACTACCACGAATCCACCGGAAATGCAGTGCAGGTGCAGGTAGATATTGACATCCTCCGATCTTCGTCTTCCGAACAGCGGCCTATTGAACACTCTGATACCGCTACACCTCTTCAAGTTCAAGTTGCTGCTGCATCTTCAACTCCCCAGCCAATATCCCGCCTCCCTGTCTATCACGGCCAAAATGTGCCTCAGGGGCGATTCATGGTCGTCTCGTGGGGCTCTGAGACATGCCTATCCCGTCGCTAGAGATGTGCTTACTCTCATGTTGCCTCTGATAACACTTGGGGTGCTGACAGGTCGAGAGGGTGACCGCCCCAACTCCTACCACCTCGTCACGGCGTGGCCCATAAGTCTCACAGGCTATGAGGCACGTGTACTGTGGAGAGAGGTACAGATCCCAGTGACTCGTGCCGCTGGACGGTCTGGGTGCGACAAGGTCTAATCCCATGATCGGAAGCACGAGATGCTTAGGCGCCTGTTTGTCAACGGGCAGGTACGAGGCCATTTGGATCATCTGTTCCTAGAAGTGGGTTGAACTTCTAGCTCGGTCTCATGCGCCGCCATGAATGTGTCCCCTCTGAGTGCCCTCCTGGCGCACCCTTGCCCATGATCTGATGAAGGATCAGTGTCAAATTCGAGGCCCAGATCGAGCCAGTCTTCAAGGGATCTTCAATGATATGCAACGCTTGCAAGGGCTGGTCACATCCTTATAGGTATTGGACAAGTGGCTAAATGGGGCTTGCAGTGGTCTGCAAGGGAAAAAGCCCCCTTCGTCAAACCTCCTTCAGTGAATGGACTGGCAGAGTACATTCTTTCACTCATCTCTATCTTCAAGCACTCGCAACCTTCTTTACCTCTGGCGCTGCCAGCCCCTCCCTACTCGAGAATTCAGGGCCAATTTCCTCTCACAACTCAGGCGCTCTGCCATTAAGGACCCTGGCAATGAGACAGGCGCTTCACTGGTCTCTCCCTCTCATGCTCGCAAGGGTATGGTGGCTGCACTACTCCCGTGGGAGAAGATGTGCCTCATCGTCGAGTGCAGTCCACAACGTAAAATGGGATAAGGACACGTTTTCGCCTCTTGAGCTGCCTGCTGGCTCAACAGCATTTATACACGATGCGAGACGGAGAACGCCCAAAGCAAACCCGACTCGCCGCCCAGTTTCGGGCCGGGGATAAATGCGTGATATTATCAACGCGATCTTATACTAGAGTGTTGACTTTCGCGAATGCAGATTTTATGTCTGTTGCTCTGCCGCCGACAAGAGTGAGAGCATGCTCATGTCATGTCATCCTCGCCTACAGCTTTTTTCAAGGGCGAAGAAGATGTGGAAGAAGATATGGAGAGGCAAAGACCCCGGCGACTGGTCGCGTGGGTTTTACCCATCAGCGACCAGAAGTACGCCTTTTTGAACGACCTGTCCCCATGGATGTGAATATGTGAGACACCACCGGCCTGCTTGGGTTTAAGAAGGCCGAGGTGAACCCCTTAGGCCTCGGCCCTGCGGGACCCCCGCGCAGACGAGCCGAGCTTGACTTTGCATTAATACCCAAGCATTTGGCAAGTCTGCGGATGCGGTGGGTCTTTTTTTTTTTTTTTTTTTTTTTTTTTTTTTTTTTGTTACTTAGCACCCTGATGCCAGGGGCAATCACGAGAAACCTACGGAGAACATGGTGGATCAGTACTTGTTGGAAGCCCCGTCCCTTTGTCTTCCACCTTGGGAGCAGATCGTTTCATTATCCTCAGATCCAGCTTCTTCGTCCTTCTTCTTCGCTCAGCAGCTGAATTGCCAAATGGATCATTTTCGTCTGCATAGCCTTTTCATCAGGTTATGAGCTCCTTTTCGAAAAGGGGTTGGACTTTTCATCTTCCATGAATTGAAATCTATCGATTAACCTCTTCCAGAAGGGTCGTGGAAGCTTAGAAACTCCACAGTTCCCCGCAAAAGACCTCGACCGCCACCTTCCTAAAACGGAAATATCGTCAAGTCGAGTCTGGAAATGACGCCTTGAGCCTGGGAGACGCTTTTCCACAGCCTCTCTGATGAAGCCCGTAGGGACTATCAGTACTGCCCATATCTCTCTATCGTTAAAGATAATGTTTTTGGGGTCAAGGAGGCATCGTGGCGTTTTCGGCCGGCTCCCAAACATTTCGCCCTCACCTTCTTGGAAAGCTAGACACGGAAGGCAAGCGAACCTACGAAGAAGGCACAGTAGAAGCCCAGGTGCTCGAAATTCGCATCGTCCACCCGTCATTCTCCGGACAAATCTAGAACGGTTTAATCACGGACTGCGCATGACGATTGAGATAGCTGCGGATTACGCCTTGTATGTACTTGCAAGATTGTTGAAGAAGCGAAGAATTGCCTTGGTTCTAGAGCGAGAACACATTACATCACACATGGTCAA